TTGATACCAGAATTTTTGAGAAATTTTCATGTATGTCATGGTGAAAAAAGTTTTAATACAAAAATGTTACTGTTGCATTTATAACATAATTGATGGAATAATTTAAGTGATCGACTAGCAACACTGATAGTAGTCACCATTAGTGATGTACCGTGCCAGGGCACACTCCCAAGGACTGGAAATTTTGTTGGAAACATTGCCGGCAATGCTCCCAATGTGGGAATTTACTGGGATTTTTGGATAAATTTTACGAGTTATCAAAATATTTCATTTGAATTTGAATTACTTTATGGTTACCTATGTACTGGATTCGAAAGTTGCCATTTTTATATCATAATAACGAATATTTCCAGGACACTGGCAATGTTCCCGGCAATATTCCCAGTAATATTTCCAGTTTACTGCCGGCAAAGTTCCCAAGAAACATCGTTTAAGGTATCTGTTTGGTGTAGAACATCTTACGATATACAAAGAAACGCATTAATATCAAAGATAGATATGGAATTAAAATGGTTAAAAAGAAAATTATTTATTTTTCATAATCATCATATGAAAATAATAACTAAAATAGCGTTTCCGTAAACAAATTATAAAATTAAAATAAACAAACCAACTTTTTATTAACGTTTTTTATACATAATTAATATATACTAGGTACCTATATATGTACTAATATTCTAAAGAAGTAAAGTCTCTAAGTTTGTTTGATGGGGCGGGGGGGTGTCTTTGAACATACTGATTCGAGCATAAAAATTATTTCACCTATGAGAAGTTGCACCGTATGTAGGTGACATAGGCTATAATTTCTGCAGGCGATGTTGATTTCTGTAACCGATATAAAATCCTCAGAATCCCTTTTTCTAAATTGGTGCTATTAGTTGTTTCGTGATGTGAATTTACGCTTTTACAACAGATTATTAAGTAGCATTCTCATCTATGAGCTTCCAGTCATGAGATATGTAGCAGATTTTTCCTGCTCTTTCTGTTGTTATTTTGTTTCTTATACGAGTATGAATATGCGAGAATGTGGAAAATGACCTCTCAACCGAGGGTGACGTAGCAGGTACTGTTAAAATTTTAATTGCTATTTGACCCAATAATGTATTTTCATCCACCAGTCTTTTGGATCGATTGTATTCACAGCTTGCTAAATTTTTTTTTTTTGCATATAGCCTATTTCGACATTTATATTCTGATAATTTCTTTAGCACATTAGCAAATTCATCGTTAGTAGTGGCCAACTTCATAATAGCATTACAGCCTTCTAAATAATCTTTTCCGCTAAGCTTGGAACTACGATATTTTGGATCTAATATAACAGCTGCAAAATGCAAATTATTCGGTTTTCGTTCAAGAAACTTGCCTTGGAATTGTGGTTAATTATCTTCTAATACATCCATTGCGTTTCTCTTATTCAAAAGCTCCTCGATATCTAATAACACTCCATACACTAAATATATCGTACAGTAATCTCCCTCAAGCTTAGAGATCCAATGCACAATTGGCGTAAAAAATTGATATGATTTTGAATCGTGGTCCATTTTCATTCATTTAAGGTATTTTCTTTCTAATTATCCAGTTCTCGAATGTCACTGATCACCTGAAGTAATAGTCTGAAGAATAACTTTAGCTTTTAAAAAAAAAATCCAAACAATGTTAATAACTTCCCCATCTATGTAGTTTTAACTGGTAATACGAGCGCTACATTTAAAGATTTATCCTCAGAGAGTCTTTTGAATTCTGATTTTAGAATATGTGATTTTGAAATTTTTGTAGAATTGCAAGAATGTGGTGCCATGTTCTGTTTTAAACTTTTGTCTATCTCCTCCTTTTGTTTTGTTAAGTTGGCAGTTATCGTAAAGGGGCATTGTTTACATGCGTTTACAAGATGATACACAAATTTGGTAGTTCTATAATGTAAAACTATCGCCATACAAGCGACATTTATAAGTTTAACGCCCACTTTCGTCTCTGATTTCTTTGAGGTAACCGTGTACTTTTGATTTCTCACGCATTTTTAGCAAAACGGGAATTGCAGTATTATGTTTTTTATAAAACGTTGAACACGTCGTTGAGCGCAGCGCTGTCGTAGCATAGAGGTTCAGGCAAATAAAACTAAGTAAGTACAAAGATAATAAAATTTTATTTCGTTTAAGTTCTATGATGTGACACCGCTGCGCTTGACGACGAGTTGAGGATGTTTTAAACACACAGATAGTGAAGAAGGCGTTACGTATTGAATGAAGTTAGAATCATAACGAGGCACTGATCTAGTATGCTTAATTATCTATATAATACGACAAGAAGTCCTGGTTACTTTCGGCAATATTCCCAATGTGCCCGGAAAACTTCCGGGCATATTGGGAGTGGAAAATTTCCGGCAGTGGCAATATTCCCAGATGTACATCACTAGTCACCATATACTTTTTAATGCGAGCGTAGCGAGCCATTGAGGACACCATCAATAGAGACCTGGTCAATCGGTTAGATTAGAACTGTCAATAAAACAAAAAGCGAGCGAAGCGAGCCATAATAAGTGGAGACCTGGTCAATAGGTTAAGGAACTGTGACCAAATGAACTAATAAGTGTGCTATTTAGGTCTGAGGCTGAAATTTCAAAATTCAAGATGGCGGCTAAAACAGCGACCATTTTATCTAGAAAATTTATCATTTTTCCCGGTTTTTACTTTATAGAGCTGATTTAGGCGTTATTGATAACATTTTTCAGATTACTTACAGAAAAAAAAATGTATTCAGTTGAAGTGTTGCCGGATAATAAAAAACTGTATTTTTTTTATACTGTTATTTTTAGAAAATTTTCTATTGAATAAGAAAAAAAGACTATAAGTCTATCTATACATTTATTTTATGTATTTCTAGCGTTTTTCAACTGAATATACTTTTTTTCTATTAAGTGTAAACTGGCAACCTTTTTCTCTGACGTATGGTGTCTAAACACCTTCTATTTGAAGATAGAACTTAGGTACTAACTTTTTGTAGGCGATTTCTAACTATAAAACAAACAAAACAAAAAAATCGAATAACTCAAATTCTGCAACGGAGGCGGACTTAAAAACCCACCGCCTCATAAATTGATCCCTTCTTTTATCTGGCCACGATATCAGTTCCCTTTTTATATTATATATAAAACTTACATAAATAATGTATATATTTTAAATTGACAGCAATGCACAAAATTATTTTTATGTATGCTCATGAATTTTGTAAAAAGTATAGCAACAGAAACCTAAATAGGTTTATTATAATATAACATATGGGTTAGGTTAGGTTAGTGTATGAAAAACAACGCACGAGCCGATCGAGCGTAGCGAGCGTGCCGCAGCAGCGGCCGGCGAAGTGCTAGAAACGAATCGCTTTTGTTGATGGTAACATTTGGTTTATAATGTTTAAAAGATGATCATGACCATTTTAATTTCAATTCTGATTTCGATGGACTTGACAATTCGGGATCTTTATAGCGTGTATATATGGATCATTTGTGTTAGTATCTTTACCCACACTTTCACATAGGTAAGTATGGAGAAAAGAAAATCCAATTTTTGACACGATATTTAAAATATATTTTTCTATACTTTTAGATTATTGAGAAAATATGTTCTTTTGATATTCAAAATGAAAGTGTTCTACGTAGGTATGAGTTTGAAATTTGATATTTATTTATTTGGTATATTATTTAAGGTAACACTGGGGGAAATATCTACTCGATCCTTTTTCATACTAAATATAAACTTACTATTGAATAAGAATAAGAGACTATAATTTATTTAGAATTTTGCTTGCGTTTTTCGACTGAATATTTCTTTTTCTGTTAAGCGTAAACTGGCAACCCTTTTTCTTTGATGTATGGTGCTCAAACACCTTTTATTTGAAGACAAAACTTACTAACTTTTTGTAGGCGATTTCAAACTATAAAACAAACATAACAAAAAAATCCAAAAACTCAAATTCTGCAACGGAGGCGGACTTAAAACCCCACCGCTCCGATTCCACTAGCTACTCGTGACCTCCCAAGCGAAAGCTAGTTAATTATATAATCATAATGAGGGCAGTTAACAAAGAAAATGTAAGTATTAGACAAAAATATACATATTCATAAATTATATCGCACGACAAATATGGTGTATGTATATATGTGTGTGTGTGTATGGATGTGTTTATGTGTTTAAATGAAGTATGCGTAACTAGAACTTCAATTCATAATTACGTAATTAACTCTAAAGACGGGGCCCGCGAACATTTTGATAGAATATGTTTAATGTGTGACCGAAAATTCTAAGTCAGTATCTAAATATATAAACAAAAAGGATAGTTTAAAGTATAGATAATATTTATTATTGTTAGTTAATGGCTTATGAACAATGGTACCGAAAAGTGAATAGTAGATTTTGATAGGTGTTAAAGAATTGAGTAAAAGTTTTTTTTTGTGTATACTTTCTGTTAGTGGATAGTGTTATCGGTTGTATATATTTATTGTTAGTGTTAAGTAAGTATGAAGTGTTATCGTGCGATGAAATTGCGATAAGGTAATGAGTGAATTCAATTGAAATATAAAAACAAACAATAGATAGTACTAACAATGGCTGGTGTATATGCACTATATAATCTTCTTCAGGTCGTCCTCGCAAGATATTAGCAAATACGGTGAATTTTCGGCTTTCCTTGTATATATACGGCAGTTTTTTGTCCAAACGAATTTGTAGTTGTTAGTTTTAGCTTTTTTTTACAGCTTGACAACAGTTGCTTATTATGTATTGTTAAGTGTTCGTTAATATAAATATTATTAAGTTCACCTTGCATTCCAATATCCCTGAACGTGATTCCTCCAAATTTGCGAGCAGCTGACAATATTGCGTCCCTTTTGTTTTGGTTTTGAAAGCGAATCACTAAGCTTCGTGGTTGTCCCTTGACCTGCCTCTTTGCTTGAATACGATGAATGAAATCCAATTCATGAGGATCGAGGGGCACATTAAGATGTTTGACTATTTTATCGTCTGGCAAGGACTCGTCTTTAGCCTCTGGAACACCCAATATCTCGATATTTTGAAGTCTTGACCATTATTCTGTCTTAATGATGCCTCTTCCATATTACTTAACTTGGTTTGAAGCATTTTAATCTGATCATTAAGATTTTTATTTTCAGTCTGCAATTTTTTAACATAAGATGTGCTTTTTTCAACCGTAGATTTTATACCGTCATATAAGTTGCTTACTGTTCTGACGTTTTTTTCTAGTTCTAAGAATTTACTCTCCAATGCTTTTGACACCGAATCCGTAACTTTAGCGAGCAAGTTAGGTAACTCATGGCGAAATAGTTGTTCTAGTTCTGTTCTTATTGTTCCTAGAATGTCGTATGGCTTTTCATCGTCAACAGAGCCACTGCCGCTGACCGCTGGTGGGTTACATGAACGGCTTTTGGTGTTAACAAACTCTTCTTCGCTACATGTGGTCTTTACTGGTGTATCAGAGTTATCTCCACGACGTGTCTATTTGATCTTACACGCTGGACATAGCCAAGTTGATGATGAATTCCCTTACTTATTGGGAACACAAGCAAGGTGATATTGAAGCTTGCATGTGGGTCTTGAACACGATAATACGCTTTCTTTTTGCTTTATGTCACTATCACAGGAGTTGCACTTCACCATGGTGAGATATTTATTTATTTATACTTTATGCACAAATGTACATAGGCGGACTTAATGCCTGCGGCATTTACTGCCAGTCAACCTTAAGGTAATGTGGAGAAGAATACGTGGTCAGGTGCACAATTATAAGAATATACTAAACTAGACAACCTAATTAATATATATACTTTAAGATACATACTATATAATATTGTACATAGAAACATACATACATACATAAATAAAAATATAATATATTAAATACATACATACACGATTAACCATTAAAGGAATCTGCTTGCTCTAAAAGATAGCTGCGTAACTTAGTTTTAAACGCATACCGACTAGTAGACATTCTTAGGTCTAAAGGAAGAGAGTTCCATAGGAGAATAGATTTAATAAAGAAGGAAGAATGAAGTACATCAGAGCTATGAGAAGGACACATGAGCAAACGGTTAGAAGCAGAACGTAGATTTTTAGTGTGACTTGTGGACAAGTATTGAAAGTGGGGAGTAAGATAAGAAGGAGCATTATGTGAATCTAGTAATGAGAAAAGGGTGGTTAGAGTTCGCATTTGCCTGCGTTGCCGAATGGGCATCCATTTGAGTAATGATCGGTATTCAGACACATGATCATACTTTCGTAGATTGTAAACGAATCGAATGCAGTTATTCAGAAGACGGTCAAGTTTATTAAGTAGATCTGCATTCAAGTCGAGATAGCATACATCACCATAGTCGATTATGGGAAATATTAGGGTCTGCATTAGCATTGCCTTAATGTTAATAGGTAGGAAATTTTTCATGCGGTAAAGAGCTCGTAGCACTCCAGTAACTTTTTTCGAAACATTTGCTACTTGGGCCTGCCAGTTTAAGTTACAGTCGATAAATAACCCAAGATCTTTCACATTTTGGCTAAATGGGATCGAAACGCCATCGAAGACCAAAGCACGGAGATCGCAATTATTGATTCTAGTTGTCATTCGAGAGCCGCCCACCAATACAGCCTGACATTTTGTGGGGTTGACAGCAACACCAAACATTTCCGACCAAGACTTTATAGAGATTAAGTCTCTGTTCAGAGCATCAATTGCATCGTTTAAACTATCAACATTTGCCTGAGTGTATAGCTGCAAGTCATCAGCGTACAGATGATACGAACACTGAAGTTTACAAGTGATAAAATTAATAAAAATGGAAAAAAGAAGAGGAGAAAGAATGCCGCCTTGAGGAACACCAGTTTCCAGATTATACCAGGATGACGAAGACTCACCAGACTGGACCATCTGCTGGCGCTCCCGAAGATAGGACGAGAACCACTTCAACGCATCGTCAGACACTAAAATGTGAGATAGAATAGCGAGAAGGATATCATGGCTAACAGTGTTAAAAGCATTGGAGAAATCGATGAGGACCAAGCAAGTAATTTTACCATTCTCCATACCTGCCCTAACATCGCCAGTTACCTTGAGAAGAGCTGTGATTGTGCTATGTCCTGGTCTAAAACCCGATTGCAGAGGATTCAATATAGAATTTTTGTAGGCAAACTGCGAAAATTGTTGGTGAACGCAAGCCTCAAGTACTTTGGATAAGAAAGGAAGGATGAAGATGGGACGGAAATGGTTAGGGTCAGTTGGATTAGAGACTTTAGGAAGAGGATGGACATAAGCTTTACGCCAAAGAGAAGGAAAAACTCCAGAAATAAGAGAGAAATTTATTATATGTGTAATTGCAGAGAGAAGGTGATCCAAGATTAAAATTATCATGCGACGACTAATGTTGTCACACCCCACAGCATTAGATTTAATGGAAAGGACGATTTTTTTAATGTCTGACGATGTGAATGGTGAAAAGTGAAAAAGGGGAATGTTGAGACGCGGTAAAGCTGATATAGAAGCAATGGCAGCTGTAGTAGTTGCCCGATCTAGCTTCGACGTAGTTGAGAAATGTCGATTTAAGTCATTTAATTCGATCGAAGTAGACAGTTCCAAATGACGAGATTTGCCGATGCCTAGAGTTCCAAGAAATTTCCAGATATCAGCAGGAGAAGAGGAAGAGATATTATTGAGAATGTATGAAAAATTTCACGAGAAAGCTCAAAATAGCAGTAAATTCTATTACGTATACTTCTGTAATTGTTCTAATAAAAGACAACGTTTCTTGATCCTTAATAGAAGAAAACTTAATTTTTAATAAAAAAAATGCAAGAACTATTGTTTCTGTGTCGACTACCCGACATCGACATTTAGTTTTTTTTTAGTAAGAGGATCAATGAACTACCTATGAGATGGCAAAAGTGTATAGATAACAATGGAATATACTTTTTGATTAAATAAATATATTAAAAAATATTCGACTTTTGTTCCCCCCATACCAAACACCAATTTCATATACAAAATGACCGACATAGCCAAAAGTTTCAAGTTAGGTTACATGCAAACATCATTTTATTTGACAAATATTTAAAAATAGAGGAGGTGTAAAAATGGAGTAAAAATTTTAAATTTCTAAGTGTTGACAGCCCTATAACGCGCATGCGCAATATCGATTGTGTGCAGATTACACCGAACCGCGAAATACATTTATTTAATTTAATTATTTACCGATATCTTAATGATAGTCGATGCTGAAAATGTTCACTTCCTCTCTGAAGACTGAGCTAAGCACGCTCTTTTGCATGACGGTGCATGCACGCGCAAAACACATCACATTTCACACAAAACTAAACACAATCTTCACTAAACTAAATTTAACACTCAAAACGAATACTCTAAGTATCTTATTAAAAAAATTCAATTAAATATGCACTAGAACAAAACAAAAATCGACAAAAAGGCGCTTCGCAGCGTTGCGTCGGCGGCGATGCGCAACAACACTCCAGCGCAAAAGGTCGGCGGCGACTGATCGGCCGGAAAATATCGACAGAATAATGAAGCCGCCTGGGGGCTGGCGGGCGGGTGGGGCTTCGATATCGAGGGACGAACTCGGTTCACATTTTTTTTATTCGTGTTTTGATATCACGCATTTTTTAATGTTCTTTTTAAATGCTTTTTTAATACTATTTTAATAACAAATTCCTCAATGTTTTTAAAACAAAGTTCATTTGTGTTAATGATGAATCGCTGGAAGATTTGTGAGTTTATCGAGTTTAATTTACGATCCCGTTGTGAAAGGAGTATTACCCCATTCAAACAATTTTTTTGGAGAACTGCTCTTTTAAAATAACGTAGGTTAATATTAGACTGATCTCTCTACGATAATTTAGGAAATTTTGCACTCGATTTCTTAATCTAGAATTCAAAGTTAAACATCTCAAACTAAAACCAATTAGTTTTCGTTTCCGATTTTAGTTTTTTGATGATCAGTTGATAGCAGTTTGATAAAACTCGGACTATTTGACTTGTGAAATTAAAAAAAACTTAGGTTATTGAGAATAAGCAGTAGAAATTTTCTACTTTTTATAAAATCAGAAATCGGCTGTCAGTCTGTAAATCGATTTAAGCATTTTGACTGCCTTGTTTATTGATTGTCTGGTAGAATTTGCATAAAAGCAGTCTTATAAATCACAAATTAGTTTATTTCGTTTTTAGAAATGAAGAAGTCAATGACCGATTAAAAACTTTTCCTTAATACATCCCAAACACAGCTGACTCAGGGTTGAAAACACTCATTTTTTTTCAAAAATTTTGTAATTTAATATCTCCGAAACTATTTGACCTAGACTTATAATTTTTTTTACATCATATTAAAGACACGAACCCAGGCACCTCGGGAGTGTCGGTCGTTCTGTTCCACCGAGTATAAGGACCTAATATAATATAATTCTATACATCATCATAATTTAATCATCGTTTAAAATCAAGACTGTTACAATATTTAATTTAAACTATTGTACGAAAATAAACCTGTACACTGCTTAATTCTGTCAAAAATTGTATAAAAAGTATGCAAATAATGACTTACGGTGACGAGTAATGCAGTTTAGGATTCTTCAAGCTTAATTTGTATTCTTCTGATAGATTATTGTAATCCTCAAAAGAAAGCGGCTGGCGGCTTTCAAAATATCTAAGAGCAAAAACAAAAAAACGACATTTATTATGTACAAAAAACGAGAGTGTAACCCTCCAATCGACTCAATTCAGGACAGCGCTATCGCTTTTGCAACCAAAATTTACGACTCTGGAGGTTAATGTTATCACTGTAGGCTCTAAGTTGCCTTATTGCTAGTATTATATGAAATAAACATATTACCATATCTTATACATATATATAAATAAATAAGAATCGTCAGCTCTTTTTTGGAGAATTAACCAACTCATTGAGTCATGCAAAATTTTCATTAAACAATACAATGTATAATATATGTATGTGACAAAATACTGCCAATCGAAGTATTTTCATTGAAATTTCTCGCGATATTCAGTCCACACGCCCCGAAGTATATTTGTTCGAGCGACTGGAAACAATCGACTCGATTTTCCAATTTTACTGAAGGGGACGGTGGCACACAGTTCGAAGAAACTCAAATGCTGGACAAATGCAGACGCGAGTAATGAACGCTGACCATTAATATTAAAAAGTTGCGACGTCATTAACTTTGACCAAATATCCTCTATAATTGAGGGAAAAATACTGGTAAAAAACGTCACAAGTTATTGATTTAAATCTAATATTTTAAAATACATACCTCTGAAGGGTATCATTGTAGTTAAGTTGATTGTAACTAGGTCGGGTTTCAGTGCTGGACTTGCTGGCGTTGCTGTCATAGCAGTCATGGCGGGGCGATATACCACCCAACATAGAATCTCTCTCCTGCATAACATTTTAACATTATTAATTATACATTGTCATAAATTACTTAAATGAATACAAAACTACAACGACTGCATAAAGAGATAGTTTTATTATGTCGACTTCCAATTTCACGAATCGTAAGGATATCTAATTCATTCTTAGCGTATGATTAAAATAATAAATTACAATCGACCCGTAACGTTTTATTTAAATTATTATCAGTTATAATTTCAATTGAAATGTTATACTAGCTGTTCTTCAAATTGGCCGCCAACGACGACTATTGCTAAATGACACCATAATCATAATAACTGATACCGTCGACCATGTTTTTTTACTTGACTTAACTTTCCATCAGTTATAAGAGGAGTTGGGAATTGATGTTTTTGCTTTCTATTATCAAACTTAGCGTAATAATTTGAAAGTAAAACAACAACTACAAGTAAAAAAAGAAAAGAGAAGCGATAGTGACCAGCCCGGATAGAGTACGCGATGACGTTTCTAACGGTACTCAGAGAATCTGCTTGGACATGCGGTGTGCTGAAGCGAAGAGTGATGAAAAGTGGATCACGTACGACAAGAACGTACGTAAAAGGTCGTGGTCAAAGGTCAGGCTTCATAGACTATTGCGAAACCCGAATTAATTCTCAACAAGGTGATGCTGTGTGTTTGGTAGGATTGGAAGGGCATTATTCATTATGATCTGTTACCGCCAAGCAGGACCATCGATTCTGAACTCCACTGCGGTCAGATTAAAGCAAGAGTTGAGAGAAAGCGGACAAAATTAATCAATAGAAAGGGTGTGGGTTTTTCATCATGATGACGCTAGCCCTTACATATCTTTTGCCACTCAGCAAAAGTTAAGAGAGTTTGGCTGGGAGGTGTGAATGCATCCGCCGTATAGTTCTGACCTTGCACCTCCAGATTTCCACTTATTTCGGTTTCTTCAGAAATCTTTAGGTAGTGTCAGGTTAAGATCACACGAGGGCTGCCAAATCCACTTGTCGCTTTTTTTTATCAGTTACTCCAAAATTTCTATAGTAATGATCATGTCCCTACTATCTACAAGATGGCAAAAAGTTATCGAACGAAATGGTACCTACATACTTCAGTTAAACGTAAATAAACTTCATAAAAAAGGTTTTGAATTTTTATATAAAATGCGAAGACAGTTTTTTCCCAACCAAAGTATAAATTTGTTTACAAATACAAAAAAATAATAACGTAGCAAAGACTAATTTACGGCGTAGTAAATCTCAAGTCGAGTTGTAGATGATATGGATATCAGGAAACCCGCCTAAATAATTCCTATAATTCCTTTATATTTTGTACAAACACCAGTTACATAAATATTTGAGGCCCTGACTTCTAAGCTAGTTTTACCTGTATTATAGAAGCCAGTGTCTCCCCAATGACATTTCAATAATTAGATAGGTACTAAGTACAAACAAGTTGGAATATCATAAGGAATGTAAAAAAATAAATAAATATGGTTACAAACTTTCGTGCATACTATGTGTGAGTTTTCTTACATGTCTAGTAGTTTATTTAGTATATGTATGTGTGTGTGAGTAGCTCGGTGGCGTAGTGGATAAGCGCCGCGGCCCGCGATCATAGTCGTTAAGCAACTTTCGCTAGGGTCGGTCACGGGATGGGTGACCAAAAAATTATTATCTCGAGCTACTCCGTGCTTCGGAAGGCACGTTAAGCCGTTGGTCCCGGCTGCATTTGCAGTCGTTAATACCCTCCAATCCGCATTGGGCCAGCGTGGAGGGTCATGGCCCATCCTCCTTAACCATCCATAAGGAAGGCCTGAGCCCCTGCAGTGGGGACGTAAAAGGGCTGGTGGTGTGGTGTGTATGTGTGTGTGTGTGTGTGTGTGTTTGTGTTTGTGTGTATGTGTGTGTGTGTGTGTGTGTGTGTGTGTGTGTGTGTGTGTGTGTGTGTGTGTGTGTGTGTGTGTGTGTGTGTGTGTGTGTGTGTGTGTGTGTGTGTGTGTGTGTGTGTGTGTGTGTGTGTGTGTGTGTGTGTGTGTGTGTGTGTGTGTGTGTGTGTGTGTGAGAGAGAGAGAGAGTGAGAGAGAGATAAATAGTTAACGTACTGGTTTTAAATATGTTTCAACTTCTTCACTACTTACCGATAACAGATAATCAAAAATTTTTTTTTTTTCAATTGATACTTATTACATTTACTTATTATTAGTTTTGGTTCAATTATGTTATAGAATCTTGGCGCAAGAAAATTGTAAAATCGCTCTGCATTTGTACTTCTTGTAACAACTTGGGGGCAACGAAATCTTCTTCTGTGGGCTAATGACAATTTAGGTTTTGATATTCGATGGTAGGTACCTCCGTATACATCTATCAACAGACTATTGTGAGTTATTATAATAAACATAGAAATGAGTATAATATAATATAATATACATAGGTACCTTATATATTTACTTACTAAAAGATCAGATAATGATCTATAGTCATAACAAGTGATTTATAATATTTTAAAGGAATATCAAACAAACAGATGGCAAATTCGCTTACATAAAATAAAAATAAGTATTTAATAACTAATGATACCGTGAACCTCCTAATTAATACACATATGTAAAAAATATGGATAAACCGTTACAAGTTAAATAAATGAGTATGATATATTTATCTTTATCTGTATTCAAACGTAATGAACATGCTTGCTGTTGCGTAGTAGACACTGTGTTTTTTTTTTTTTGTAATATTGGTGTCTTCGCAAATAATTGTCGATGTAGTATTTTTATTATATTTTTGTTTAACAATTCAGATTTCAAATCGTCCTAAACATTACCATTACTATGAAATGTGTTGAAGTATTTAGTAACAACTAATATAGTTACTTACAAAGTATCTCTTGTCCTGATCATTAATCTCCACACGGAACTCGGCGTCAGCCTTCGGTTGTTCCTCCATGAGGGTTTCTATGAAAGATGCAAGGTCTTGGCACCGTTTACTCATTTGCTGTTTAGCTAACTTAGCCGGCTTCGTTAAAACCTGTGTTGGACTTTAATTAGTGATAATCAAAATTTTACAATGCGCATAACATACATATCCAAATTGTATACAATTAGACTTTAGTACCTTATCTAAGAATTTAAGGCTAAATTAAAAAAGATACTTACAGATTATTAACAAAATACAAATGAATGAATGAATGAAATATTCTTTATTGTACAAACACCATACAGTCAAAAAATTTAGAGTTATAAGTTAACAATAAGTATAATCGGCGGCCTTATCGCTTAGACGCGATCTCTTCCAGGCAACCGTTACAAAAAGGAAAAAAAATAAATTATAATTGGGTAGGCTATGGCGTCTAAAATAATCTTTATTACCTACAATATGATATACAATACAATATAGAAATAAATACTTACAAATTACAAAATATTTAAAAAATAATACTGGTAGCATAAAAATAGGAAATGGTGGTGGCAACACCTGCCACGTATATATAAAGCACGGACGGACGTCAAGCATTTCCACCATCCAAACTTTCCGCCGACCTAGATCTCCTCCTGGAGGCCCAGCAAGCGGATCCCGCCCCTACTCCCTCCGACCCTTCAGGTCAACCCCCATCTCCGTCCACTTCGACCGCTATCCCTTCAGGGTAGCGGCCGCACTTTTAAGGGCATCACGTAGCACCCTTCTGGTGGTACGTGATAGCTCCCCCCTGCCCTCCACGACCCCTCAGGTCAACCCCATCAACTCTGGCTGATCGTTCCCCTTCAGGGAGTCAGCTATATTTCAATCCGATGAGCCGAGCCCCCCGGGGTTAACGGCTAACATCTCGATGTCATAATTCATGTAAGTGAATAGTGACGTCTGCGCCCCCCCCCCCCCCCCTTGCAGGGTCGCTCCGGTCGAAGGTTCGTTGCCCCTTCAGGGCACGCAACCAACTGTCCAAGGCGGTGTTTAGTCAGTAGGAGTCTGACATAACCTCACAGCCGGCTGTGGGGATTCATCGCTTCCTTCCCCCGTTGGGAGGGTGGTTCCGAACCCTTAAGGTTGAGAGCCGAAAAAAAAAATCAAGCATTCACTTTTGCTGTGGACACCGGTCGGAACGGACGTGCTGATCTAACATAAATAATATCACTCCCTTTTGTTTTCTGCATGTTTTCTTCCATTAGATTGTACTATTGGTGTTACTTCGCTAATTTAAAACCTAGCGAGTTAGTAAATTTTTTGTCTACCTTCACCAAACCAGTTAAGATTTTGAGTAAAGATAACCGTCCGTCCCGTCAATGTGTAATCAGTAGAAGTGACCTTAAAAGTCGGAACAATTGGAAAGAGCAACGGTAAACAAGAATAAAGTGTTATACATGCGGTGGTATCGGTAAAGTAAAGTAAAGGTAAAGTGTTATACAAACGTCATGAATGTCCAAAAAATAAAATAATTGATAATTTTGAAAAACATAAAAATGAGACAAGTTCTGAAAATAAAAATACAACTCCTTGCGTTTACTGTAAAAAGCAAGGGCATGATATTACCAAGTGCTTCGCTAAACAGCGTGTTGATCAGCACCGTTTCAAAAATAATGTTAACTTTTGTTCAACTATTCAACAAAAGCGCAATGACGTCGTGGTTGGGGTCATTCAAGGGATTCCGGTTGATATATTAATAGAAACTGGTGCAATCGATGTCTCTTTAATATCCTTTAACTTAGTGAAATATTTCTCTTGTGCATTTAATCCAATTGATTCTCAAATTAAAGGAGTAGGTGGCAGCATTACTAATATCACTTCCTACGTTACCCTGACTATCGAATTAGACGGCTTTTCCCTAGAGGTAGACTTATTAGTAGTGCCAAGAGAATGCATGACTGCGCCAATTATTATAGGTACAGATATTCTAAATAGGGATGGGGTTACTTTTATCCGAACTAATAATACACAACGCGTAGTTCGCGATTCAAAGCTAGTTTTCACTGTGGAGTCGAGTGAAGTGCGCACAATCAATACTGATTTGATAGGTGATTATCTCTCTCAGTTAGAAGTTATTTTAGATAAATATAAACAGTTCATGATTTCGGGAACTGCTACGTCTATTCCACTCACCGGCTTCGTGACACCTGAAGGGCATTATGAATATCTCAAAATGCCTTACGGTTAAGCTAATGCCCCTATAGTTTATCAACGTGTTATAACTAAAACATTACAAGAGTTCATTAATGAGGGAAAGGTTCTAGTGTACATTGATGGCTGTTTGATTCTCCATGACTCCGTTGAGGAAGGGCTGCAAGTACTAGATAAAGTATTGGCCACATTAACTTCTACCGGGTTCTCTATTAACTTACGAAAATGTTCGTTTATGTGTACTAAAATTGAGTACTTAGATAGAGTGATAGGAAATGGTGAGGTTCGACCAGCTAGGACAAAAATACAGGCTCTCGTCAATTCTCTGGCGTCTCAAAATGTAAAACAAATAAGGCAGTTCTTAGGTCTAGCCGGTTACTTTAGAAAATATATTGCCAAATATTCCCTTAAAACGGCTTGTATTGCACACCTTACTCGTAAAGACACCCCTTTCTGTTGGGGACCTGAACAGGAACGTGTCTGACAAGAGATAATTGCCAATCTTACCACTGAGCCAGTATTGGCAATCTTTGATCCAGAGTTACCCACCGAAGTTCATACGGATGCAAGTATTTTGGGTTATGGTGCGGTCCTGCTTCAGGTTCACAAAGATGGAAATAAGCGGGTAGTTGCTTATTACAGCCAGGTGCCACAAGGAGCTGAAGCAAAATATCACTCCTATGAGTTAGAAACCCTGGCTGTGGTAAAAGCCTTGCGTCACTTTAGGCATTACCTTATAGGCATAATTTTTACCGTCATTACTAATTTTAATGCCCTTAAAGCAACTCAAAACAAACGAGACATGTTACCGCGTGTGGCAAGATGGTGGATTTACCTTCAAGATTTTAATTTCACCATACTATATCGAAAAGGGATCATGTTGCCACACGCGGATTATCTGAGTGGGAATCCATGCAACACTGTTAGTAATGTAGATAGGCCTCGTAACTGGGCTCAGATCGCTCAAGCGGGAGACGACGAAATTCTAAACCTAATGCAAGCCCTTGATGAAGGCGAATTAGACGCATCTCGTTATGTCAAACGTAACGATATTCTGTATTATCGACACCATCAAGTAGGAGAAGATACTAAACTCCTTTGTTACATTCCGAAAGGTTATCGCCTTAGTCTTCTTAGAATTTTCCACGATGAGCATGGTCATTTCAATACCGAAAAAACGGTCGACTTAATCCTAAGGCATTTCTGGTTTCCCGGTCTTAGAACCTTCGTTAAAAAATACATTGCTCATTGTTTGACTTGCATTACTCATAAGAGAGTTCCACGTGCACCACTTCAACACCTTATGGTCTAAACCAGACATCCCGTTCGATACATTACATACTGATCTCCCTGAATCTAAAGGATATAAGTACATCTTAATTGTAGTCAATGCATTCACTAAATTTTGTTTTCTCAACCCGATCTCTCGTCAAGACTTGGATGAATTGAAACGTGTCTTTCGTACTGTTTTTTCTATATTTGGTACCTCAACCCTGATTGTATCAGATAGAGGTCGTATGTTCGATTCACTTGGTTTTTCGTCCTGGATGCTTTTATTAGGTGTTCAATTGCATCACATAACACCAGAGATGCAACATGCTTCTCAACATGCTCAGAATAGAAGTGAATCATAAAAAAAGTGAATGGTTAGATGAGCTGTGGCAAATGCAGTTGATTCTGAATTTAACAAAACAACGAACCACTCAGACATCTGCACTAAATTTGTTAATGGGACATGAAAGTGCCGCCCCAGCAATCAGACTCCTGGTAAGAGATGTTACAATACATTCTTCTGGGCATAAACGTGAAGGTAAAAGAGAGATGTTGCGACAAAGGACAACCGAGCGACCATTAAGAAATCAAACTCAGCAGGATGCCTATGCCAATGAGGGCAGAAGCTCTCCTCGTGTGTTTCAGGAAGGTGACTTGGTGTATGTTATCAAAACTACTCAATCACGAGGGTAGCTAGACCACGGTATGTGGGGCCCTTATCGTGTCATCCGGAGCATGCCTAATGCTCGTTACGAGCTCCGGTTAGTAACGGGTGCTTATGGCAAGACAACGTACGCTGCTGCTCAGTTCATAGTGCCATGGAGGGGAGAATGGACCCCTGAGACTTGTTTTGACTTCTTTGAGGGTAAGCTTGTTTGGCTCAGGCTGACGTCGTCGGCAGTACTTATTAGGGGCCTATTCCGATCCTGGGTAGATAGATAGATAGATAAATAGTTTATTCATACAATAACACACAACTACATCACAACTTGTACAATACAAATAACATTTGAGAACAGAACACGTAATTGATATAAGTGATATACCTGTGTGCAGCAGTAAGATAAGGGTCAAGGCTCGGTGCACGTAAATCACCCAAGAATGGGTGAAGCACCGATTTTCAGCCGTCACCCAGTACAGAGTGAGCGGGGCAGATTATTGTCAATGTCATATCAATAGGAAGAATTCAAAAATGTCCAAAATAAAAGATAGAAATATTATTAACGTAATGTGAGATAAATACTGATAAATTAGATAACACAGAGGTCAAGTTAGTAACAAATTAATATTAAACAGATTTAAATATATACATGAGATTATAATACGATGAAATAAAAGAATGTCAATTGTGTCAATGTCAAAAATATAAATTAAAATTAAGATTATAATGTTAGGTAGCTTTCAGGAAAAATCAATATTTCAGTCACCTAACTAAACATATGTTCTGAAGCTCGAGTAAATAGGTTTTTAATTTTTTTTTGAAAGTATTTATTGAAATGAGGTTTCTCAACGGGGGTGGCAGATCATTCCAGCACTTGGTTGCCTGAAAACGAAAACTACCTCTGAAAGCCACAGTACGATGATGATAATACGCAAGTACGGGTCGAACAGATCTAATACCGTGCTGCGATGTGGAAAATAATAATTTGTCGTACAGGTATTTGGGTCGGCGATATTTAATGACTTTATACACAAGACATGCCAGGTGTAATTGCCTACGGGATTCCATACGAAGAATGGCAGCCTTGTCTAAAAATGGTGAAATATGAGTACGTGGAGGCACATGGAAACAAAATCTACAACAGGCATTTTGAACTCGTTGTATCAGTTGACTAGTCCTGGAAAGTAGACGAGGGCCAATCACTACATCAGCGTAGTTGAACCTCGAGAGAATTATTGATTCACAAAGTGTTACACGAGCCCCCTCGCTGAGGAAGTTGCGAACCCTGTAGAGTACCCTTAACCGGTACATGCAACTCTTGACCACACTTAAAACGTGGGCTTCAAAGCGCAGTCGGGAATCAAAGAGCACCCCGAGGTTCCGCGCTTCCTGAACAATTTGCACACTTTGGTTTCCAAGAGACACAGAAGGACCGGAGCGGATGATTCCAGTAACCTGTGAGTCAGACCCGACCACCATGAATTTAGACTTTGAGGGGTTTAGAAGGAGCCCATTGTCATCTGACCATTTTGCAATCCTCTGTAAGTCCTCGTTTAACTTCAAAATAGCCTCACCGGTCGAGTGTGGATGTGTATAAATATACAATTGCACGTCGTCTGCGTAGCAATGATAGTTGCAGTACTTGATCACCTCAACCATATCCGCTGTATAGATTATAAATAGCAAAGGTCCAAGAATTGAGCCCTGAGGAACACCTCGCCTAATTTCCCTAGGGTTTGATATCCGTGAAGAACAGCTGCCAGGAAGTCCGTTGAGTTTAACTGATTGATAACGCTGAAATAGGTAGCTTCCGAACCATCTCACCGAAAGGCTATCCAAACCATAGTACTCAAGCTTGGCCAAGAGAAGATCCAGATTGATACTGTCAAAGGCACGAGAGTAATCGAGTAACGTGAGAACGGTGCCAAGACCAGCATCCTGTTGAGACAGGATATTGTCAACTACATCAATCAAAGCGGAAGACGTACCATGATTCCTACGAAAACCCGACTGCAATGCAGGAAGAATCCCATTACTTTCGAGAAATTTGTATAACTGAGAGTACACCGCTTTTTCTAAGATTTTCGACAGGAATGGCAGAATGCTAATTGGCCTCAGGTCCCCTAGCCCCGACGGATGAGCAACTTTAGGAATCGGCGTCACCAGGGCATGCTTCCATCCGGTAGGAAAGGTGCCAGAAGTAAGAGACAGATTAATGATGGCTGTTATGACACTTAGAGTGCATGGCAAGGTTAAAAGAATCATGTCTCTACTCAAACCATCGACACCACAAGCATTAGACTTGCAGGAGAGAATGAGCCTTGCCACCTCACCTTCGGTCACCGGACTCAAACCAAACACGGATCCATTGTAACGAGAGGACCCGAAAGAACGAATATAAGACGAAGACACGTCGCTGTTACCCAAGAAATCCAAAAAGTGGGAATTAATTGCATTTGGATCACTGAAAGAGCCAGGAAGACTATGATTATGGCAGGGGTCAGCAAAAATCTTTTCCCTTACTTGTTTCCAGAAAATCTTACTATTACAAGCCTGAGTATTCACAAAATGTTCAAAGTAAGCACGCTTTTCTGACGCTAAACTTACTTCCACCAGTCTCTTCAAACTCTTCCATGCCAATTTATCCTCATCAGACTTAGTTAATCGGTATTTCTTGAGGGCACGATTACGCAAATCCATCATACATTTTATATTGTCTGTTAACCATGGCAAAGATTCCGGGCCGGATCTTAATGATCTTATAAGGGGCGTGCTTATCAAATAAAAATAATAGCATCTGTAGGAAACAAAGCACCATATCATCCACCGTATGAAAAGCCTCCACCGATCTCCAATCCAACGAGTACAGATCTGCATTGAAATCATTAAGATTTATCTGTTTAATTGGCCTGCAAGAAATAACACGTGTTTCGGTTTTGGGTTTTTTTACTGAAAAGGTAGCATTAATCATACAGTGACCCACTGGGCCCGATATATGGGAAACATCCAAGCTTTGAATACGACAATTAGTGCAAATCAAATCGATCAATGTCTGTGATACATCCGTGAAGTGAGTAGGCTCGGATACAACCAGCTCGAGGTCCATATAATTGAGGAACTGTTTTAACTTCAACGTTTCACCCGCAGTCTGGTTCAACATATTTATATTGAAATCGCCCATAAGGACAACGAAGTCGTTCTGGCCAAAATAAGTCACAGCCCTAGTCAGTGACTCCAGAAAAACATCTACATTCACCCATTGGGGCCTGTAGGCGGTACCTATTGCAAAAGTAGATCCATTTATCTTAGTGGTGAGCCACATTTGCTCAATATTATCATCAGAATGCTTTACATATCGAACACGAATACTGGTCTTGATATAAAATGCTACTCCCCCTCCCCTGCCGGACCGCATGTGCAGCGGGCACGGAGTGTTTCTCAGTCTGTAGCCAGCCACCGTTGGGGCGTGCGCTTCCTGACCCTCTTGTAACCAATTCTCGTTAATCGCAACAATATCGGCGTCAGAACGTGTCATAACTGCCACAAAATCATCGTGACCAGTATTTAGGGAACCTGCGTTGAATAGACCTAATTTTAATTTATTTGTAGCCTGCATTAATAAGCCAATTCAAGATACAGCAACCAAGAAGCAAACCATGACAGAAAATAATAAGCGATCGCCATAGAATATCTGTTAACAGAAGCAATTAGTAATGAAGTCGGGTAAGATAAACTCAGATTAAAGCTACGGTTACATATTTTATGATTTAGAAAGAGATTATTATTTTGTGCATATAATAATGTAAATGAGCATATTAATTCGTCAATTTTCTTCAATGTCACGAAATGTATATGTATGTGCAATCCAGTAATATTTTCAATTAGTAAACAAAAAATAATTGTATAAGTCATTATAAATAGTTGGTGTAAAATTGTTTCACAGTGAGAAAAAGATGCATTAATATAATTTATAAAGTGATAATTATGTTGTGCATATAATAATGTAAGTGAGTATATTAATTCGTCAATCTTCTTAAATGTCACAAAGTGTTTAAGTATATGTAATTTAATATTATTCCTAATTAGTAAATGAAAAGTAACCGAATATGTCATTACATATAGTTGCCGTAAAATTATTTCGCAGCGAGAAAAAGATGCATGAATATAATTGTTTCCTGTCCATTTCAGTGCCTTTAAGTTATAAGAGTACATTACTGCTACACACAGAT